TGATATGTGACAAATATTTTGTATAGAGCTGATTAAATGCCACATCCTCTGTAAAACAATGATTGTGAATTAACTTAAGCTAAATGTTTGTTTGTTGCAACAATCGTCATTGAACTAAATATAGTTGACTCAATGTATAGAACATCATCAATCACACAGCTTCCTTTGCGCCTCCATGTTTTACACTCAGTGGATATTGATATCACCTCTCTGAACAGAAACCTCCATTCAAACACTGACAATCACTTTTCTTTCTGTTGGTGTTTCCTGAAGTTTAAGTTCTTGTTTATCCGTTTTTATTTTAAAGCAGATAAACGCGTCAAAAAAAAGTAAAGATCACTAAACTAAATCCTACCTTGGACCCCAAAGGTGAAGTGTACACCTGTGTTACTGGAACACGGTGTTTATCCGGGCTCTAAAGTCTAAAGTTAAATCTTAAACATTAAAAGTTTGGCGACACAAACAAATCTCTACAAACTTTCTACTTCCTGGTTTTCGTGTTTCCTGTAAACCTGCAGAGACCCGCCCACAGGAGGCAGAGTCCTCCGCGCACATACAGGAGGGGACTACTTTGTGCAGCGGATTAATAGACACTCTGAATGATGAGTGTGACCCACTCAGGTTTATCAATAAAACATGAATGATGTGTTTCATTGTTGATGAACCAATCTCGATCTCAATCTAGCAGATACAATTAACTCAACTGCCTGAGGTTTCCAGACAGCTGTTTATTTTCAGTCCTGGTTTCGTTTTTAATCTAACTGAACTTTATTATTTATTTTAAATGGACAATGTACGATACATTAATCATCATACATTAATCAGTTGGCTGAGAAGCTCATTTTCATCGACAGTCCTTTTGCAAGATGTTGTTCGACCTAAAGTGTGCTTCGGCAGGTCCTGTACAAAAGTGATTGTGAATTTGAATCTCTTGATTTGAAAGTGGAAACATGAGCTGATTGTAATTCTCACAATACATTTTAATACGTTTTCGGTCATGGTACACCACACATGAGGTCACTGGTGTATAACATTTGAAGTATTATTTATTGGGAACATGGTGTTAGTTAAAGTGGTGTATTTGTATTTAATGATATTATTAAGGAGACCTGGGGACACTATATTGAGATTGAATGTACTACATTCATACAGGAGGTTTAGTTTTACGACTTGTTTGGATCAACTTCCCAAACTATTTAGGACAGTCACCCTGTATCTGCTTTTATGACCTGCCAACTCATCTTCAGTATTTACTCACGCCGTGTTTTGAAATTGCATCACTTGACCTGACTTATTGTATCTCCTGTTAAATATTTTCTGGACATCTTAAGACGTGACGTTTGGCTGTATAAGAAAAGAATATCTTTCCTGGTTATTCTAACAAATGGTCCTGCTTCCTAATCTTTTCCAGTAAGGCCTAGTGTGCAACAGAGAGAGGATATCATGGAAATCATAATGATAGACGTTTGTTGTCCTATTTAGCTTTGTTTAGTCATGTAAACCTAACCTGTGGAAATGGTTTGAATGTTGTCCTTGATTACATATTATTATACAGGAGTTTGTTTTCTACTACATTCATCTGTCTCACTGTAGTTTTTTTTATTCCGATTTTAGTCAATTGAACACACTGTTGCTACAAGCAACAGTTACTAAGGCAATAGATTAACTGACACCATGTAGTCAGTTTAAAATATTAGTTATTTTTTATCATAGTAATATTATATATGTTCCTCAAAAATCACTTCTTGGCGCTGTTTGTCCTTTTGTGGTGATCGTTAATTTGTGGCTTGTTTATTCATTTTTCTTCCAAACTGCTAACTATGCTGACATTGAATCAGCTTTTTGAGGCTAGTGTGTTGTTAATACAGAATTCTAGCTTAACAGCTAAATAATCAAAATGTTCTAGTTCATGTACTTGGATACACAAATGTCACAAACTGCCGCCTTTTCATAGGAAACTTTGAGTTGTATCCCCCTTAACGTCACAGATTCTTGTGTATTTATGAGAGTTGTTGATACTGATGTTTATTGATACGGAGCATCTGATTGCAAGGAACTACGGAAGCATTCATTTAGACTTTAAGACAGTAAACAATAAGAGTTTAGATTCCGTAATTCTCCCACATAGTTTTCAAATGACTGTCATTCCTAATGTAAAAACAGGTAAAAGGAGGATAAGGGAAATACTTTTTGCATCTTTCAAAACCAAAACAAGGGAGGAGCTGTGCACTAAATGTTCAGTTGTGTTTAATGAAGTTGTCTGTAAGTGAAAATAAAGAATAACTCAAGAGACTTTGTTGGAGGAGTTTTGTGTGTGTGTGTGTTTGTTTGTGCTCACTCTAATCTAAGACAAATGGAAACAAAGAGGACAGACGCCAAGTTAACCAACCCCTGACTATTACATACTAAAGTGTTGTGTTCTCTGCTGTTTAATGTGGATTTAACAGTAAAAACAATGAACATTAATTATCAAGCGTGAAAAAAGTCACTTATGCTCTAACAAAAGTTGGAATGATTCTTGAGGTTCATTAAATGAATTTTCTGAGGAAGGGATGGGTTTAATAAAGAGGATAGTGGTCATGACAAATTATTCCTGGTGCCAAACGATTAACCACTCAGATACTAAGACTGTCAAAAGGCACAGACAGTGCAAAACCCACAGTTAGTTGGTGTTAATGTCAAATAACACAAATTAGAGTCACTTTAAAAGCACAAGTAACTCCACTAGAAGTATATCACATGCAAATGACTGAAATTAAAGCCCAGAAACACCCTTTGCAGAGGCATTTACTGAACTGCTTTAGTCTTCATGTAGTGCATTATACCATTATGAGGTTACTTCTCTTATCTGCCATATATATTTGAGTAAATATTACGTAGTGTCGTCTAATAAAATGTCTAAACTGTCAAAAAACCCAAATGCTGACGTTTATTAAGGTGGAAGCCGAACGGAGTATAGGAAACAGTATTTAATGTGATGGGGTGATTGTTACTTCATAACAAGACTTAAATAATTAGTCAAATATTAAACAAATTGTTAATTAGTTTTCTGTCAACCACTGTTTCAGTTAATCAAGTAATCATTTCAGCTTTACTACTGGTTGGTTTCTGTGTGAAATAATAAAACTGCAAGCCTAATGTATGGTGGGAGTCAATGAGGGCTAAACAGCATGTTGCCCTGGGGTCCTGTAAGAGGTTAGTCCGGCCCTGGAGACAGCGATAGTTCACTTGAATTGAGTATAGAATAACCAAGAATTTGACCTTTGCAACATGATAATTTTTAGATTTCTTCACAGGAGCTGACACAAATCTATCTTCAAGTGACGGTTGAGTCTTACATTTATTACAAGTTTTGAAATCGTTACTGGAAATATTTATTTCCAGTTTCTAGGTAAAAACGTGATTCGCTCTACCAGCCCCCAGGGATGTGTTGGGGCGCCCTGGTGCCGTATCGGCCCCACCCAGCAGGCTGCATCATCATCCGGCCAGCCAGCAACGCTTCCCCCCGCTGAGGTCACAGCTACAGCCCTCCCCCCCTGGAGCCCTGCGATAAAAGCTGGGAGCAGAGAGAGACACCCGGCACAATCTGAGAGACTCATCCCAGCGAACCGGAGCCTTCTCCCGCTGACACACTGAGAAATAACCGCTCCAGAAGACTTCACACTTGGTAAGAGCATTTTCCCTTTTTGTTAAAATCGCATGTAGACAGAACAACATGCGGTCTTCTCGCAAAATGTCAACTTGAAAAGTGTCACCATAGCATCATTATTACCTGAGGCTGTAGAGTTTAGAGTTACCACACTTAAACATTTTGCAAAGTTGTAATTTGGTGCGTAAAGGAATCATATATATACAGTTATATTGAAATAGAAACAGTATGGATTGCAATCCCCAGTAGTAATAAACCTAATAATAATAAAGTTATAGTGGTAATAGTTACAGTTCTCTTGTTTTATAGAATGATCAAAAGCAAAATCTAAAAGTAAAAAGAAGATAAAGTTTTTGTGAATGTGAAATTAGGTAAGCAATACACCATAATGAGTAATCTGCATATGTGATATTACATTTTAGCAGACATGGGCTTGGGAATAGTGGTGTGTAGGATTATAGTATTAATTTCCCCTCATTGCACAGCGATGCGGTTTTCACACAACACAGCTGATGCATTGCTAAATTACCTTCTGCTTTGTAATTTGCTTATTTGGCATCTCAACATTTACTCACTGTGACTTCAGCAGCTCTTTATTTACCTCCCTCCCTCCACACTTTTAACCTACAGTGAGAATACACTTTACACAGGAAATTAGTTATTTGTTGTTATCAAAGTTATTTACAACACGGGATCATACAGTGCTCTGTGGCTGCTTCTTTGAGAGTCCTGAGAAAGAACATGGTGATATTGTGCTCTGCTGCTGGAACGTCCCTATAAGATACAATGATTCTCAGCATGTGTATGTGTGGTTCCAGCTATTACTCATGTTTTAGGACCTAAATCTGTTTACACATTCAATTTCTATAGTGAAGACATGTTTTAAGGTGAAGGTTAGGTTAAGTTTATATTAAGTTTAGGTTAGATTCATGTAAAGGTCAGGGTTAGGGTTAGGTAGTAATCATTACGGTGATGGTTAAAGTACAGTTGCAGTCAATGTGCTATTCTCTGAGGTCAGAAAGACAAGGCTTTGTCTACGTGAGTGCGTGTATGTGTGTGTACTTTCACAACTCAGGCCAAACTCTGCAGGATCACTGGCAGGCTTTTATCAACTTAATGAGTTGGATTTGCGCAGGAGCTTGCATTTCAGGAATTCTCCTCCCCAGCATCAGTCAGCGCAGACATTCTCCTTTACATCTGAAACTCTGCGTTGCATGTTGACAGATTGTGGAGTCTGTATCCTGCAGTGTGGTCAGCTGTGTTTGGTGCCTCACATTGTCTGTGACTCACAGGATCAGTGGTTTGGGTCCTAAAGCTGTAAGTGAAGAGTCGGTCAGACAGGATAGAGCTGGATCAGACTGTGGGACAATGGAAGGAGACTGAATCCTTATTGAATGTGGAGGTTGTGTTCTCAATTCTTGTTATAAATCACATCCATGCCTCCATCTGTGCTTCTTTATCCATCTGAGTCTGTGCAGTCCTGGAAGCTTGGATGACTCAGGACGACTCACCCTCTTTCTGCTGAACTCCGGGATTTGATTTCATTTTCCCTCCTCTCCCTCTTTTCATCCTTCTCTCCTTTCTTTCTCTCTCTCTCTCCATCTTTTCATCTCCTCACAGTTGTCTCAGCTCCATAGTTTACACCCATTTCTAATGTCAGCACCTGCCTCTTTTGGTTTTATGGGGGTTTTCCTGATAAGAACAAGGCCTCATATTGTGCACAGTATGATGCTGGAAGGCAACAATGCTGTTCTTTGTTCTGTGGGACTTTACAGAGCCAGATCACAGCTGGTTCACTGCAGGACTGAAAACCCCAGAGTTAAGAGTGTATGAAGTCCATTAAGTAGCTTACTTATCAACACGACATCACATGCCAGAACACATCATCAGCAAACATGATGCACACATAAAGGAACAACACCTAAACTGGAGAGAGAAAGAAAGAAATACAGGTTTATGGATCCCAGCAAAAACCAGTTTAAATATGATGTTTAAACTCCCAGTTTCCTGGGAAATGACTCTGCTAGAATGATGTGGCACGAGAAGGGAAACGCTATATCCCACAATTGTTGAGTTCTCTAAAAAATGTTGTTAAGAAACTGACCAGTGCCACAGGTGTTTTCAGTTACTCACCTGGCAAACAGTGTTAGCACATTTGCACATGAAACAGGAGGTGTAATCCCAGCTTAGCCTTCAAGTGCAAACAGTGAACCAGAATTTGAACTTCACAGTCAGATGAAACTATGCTCACTGCTTTAGACTTTGAGATTTTGCCGTGGCGGTTGGAGGACGAGAATGTCTCACCTCAAACCTTTACCACCCTGGTTTACCATCATCATTACACATCCTCACTAATGGTCCCCTGAACTTGCAGCCAAGAAGTCTAAGATTGTGTTCAGCACTTTAACCAGCTCTTAGTTTACACTGACATCGCACACTAATGGGAAGTAAACGACCTTTTCAGAAAGCCGTTTACTTTTAGGTCTGGACATGTTTTTTTGTCTTTGTGTGCATGTGTCTGCCTTTTTACCTTGGCAGGATCTAAACTGGATTCACTAAATTGGAGCATCTTAAAACCAGCGGCTGACTCATAGTCTGGCTGCTGCCACTCTGCTGATATTTTCCTTTCTTCCATTCATATTTGACCTACTAACTAAGGGAACCACACTCTCCTCAGGCTGGGTACTTGGTTACACAAGTTTCAACCAATCACAGATTGGGTGTAAGTGATAAATGCTTTAACCCCGTCAGTGCCAGTGGGACGTCGTTGCCCCTTTTAATGCATCTTACTGTCAGTCATCATATCAATAGCTTCTTGGTTGTGACTCCCTCATGCACATCAAGGTTTGGTTGTATCTCAATTTCCTTGGTTGGGTTGAGAAGAGTTCACTGATTAGTAATATAGTAATGTGTAGTATATCTTTTATTGGTTATGATGCCGTTTTTTGAAGTATAACCGAAAGGTTTTGACCATTGGCCAGAAAGGTTAGGAAGACTTGAGAAAACCTGAATTAAAAATACTTTTGCTGTTGTACCAGACCCAGTTTTCCTGTAACCCTGTAGCTTTTTCCAGTTTCTTCAAAAGTCTCACAGATATTAGTTGAATTTCAGTATTGTGACTGGCTGTAATCACGTTTGACAACTTCATAATCCCAATTTAATGCTTTTTACCAGAAAGTCTCCACAACATCTATAGTCAAAGCCAATTGTGATTAAAAAAACCTCTATTGTAATTGTCGGAAAAAAGCTATATTTGGTCAGATAATCTGAGTTGATTACATCTAGGAAGTTGTTCCCTCTGTATATACAATTAAAAGAGTTTTACATAACTTAAACAGACCCATTGCATTGTGGGATTGCTAAAGAAGCAGTGATCATGGCACCCCAACAGGGCCTCTGCATGTCAGATACCAAAGACTGTAAAAGGGGTGGGGTACACATATGTTTGAGTTTGATGTGTGCATGTTGGTTTCTGTGCGTGAGTGTGTTGATATTTGCCACATTTCCGCAATGCAGTGCGCGGGCCACGCAATGGTAGTGTTTTAGCAGGAAACACATGTTTTTAGCTGACAGGGCCACAGAGAGGGGCGAGTGGACAGCTGCACAAAGGAAACAAAAAGAAAACTGCTTGCTCTGTTGTCACCCTGCCAGTGGGGCTCTGTTAGGGGGTGATAGCACAGCAGACAACAGGGTTCCTATTTGTCTGAGGGAAGGATCGCTTTCAAGGGAGCTGCCCTCTTAATGGTGAGCGTGTGAATGCATGTGTGTGTCTGTGTTTTAAAGGTGAAGCCCTGAGAGTGAATCTTTGTTCCAACGAACAATGAGCAGAATGGACAGTACAGCTTTTTACAGGGCTGTTAATTAGCTCCATGTTCCTGAGCATTTTGTGTGGGTGGTCACCAGCCTTGCCAGCTTACGTTGCTGATATATCAAAACCTACTTCTGTTTTCTATCAGCTCAGTCAAGCACAGAAGGTGAGTCAGGGGAGAACCAGCCGGCGGAGAGGAGCGTTTTAAAACGTCCCAGAGAATAGAAGTGTCCGCGCAGGCATGTAGGCAGATGGCTGTATGTCATGTTATTTGCATGCATGTGTCTGTAGAAGTTTTATTTTTTAAAGCTGCTAGGAAGTTCTTTATACTGAGGTCATTTTTACATTTCTTTTCCAATCTTCTTTTTTAATGATCCTCTCTGTACTCCTCCTTTTCTCCCCTTGCTTCTTTTGTGACTCATGTTTCCTCACACTTGACTGAAGAGCAACAATCACCCTCATCCACACCTCCTCCTCTCATAACCTGACTCCCATAAAACAGAGAAAAGGAACAAGTCTGATAGCCACAGCTTTTTCTAGATGTACATAAGTGAAATGTAATAACTTTTTCTGTAGCTCAAGGCTTTTCCCTCTGTTTCCTCCTCTTTCCTTCATAAGTCCTGAGTCACTTTATCCTCCTCCAGCTGCTGCTTTGCTCTGTTGGGGCTGAAGCTTTCTGCTGTGTGTTGCTGCCTTTCATGGCTGCAGGGTTTGTCTAGATTGTGTTGTTTGATGGTGATGGTCAGTGTCTCCTTTTTTTGGCATGAAGATAATTTGTTTCCTGTTTAGACGTGGTGGGGAATAGATGGATGGATTGGTGTAACGCAACACAAACATAAATAAGGAGTGGGCTTGTACGAGGAATGGGACAAGAAGGGAAATCAGGGAAATAATATGTATACAGCACAAACTGGAACTCACCCACCAGACTGTCCTGCACATTGTTGTATACACAACTTCAAGAAACTAGAAATGAACATTTCCCACAAGCCCCTCGCTGTGTCCACCCTTTCCTCCCCAACGGGCGCCCTCACTCCAAAGGGACCTTTTCAGAGGCAGACATAGGGATGAGGAAGGAAGCCGAGCACAGAAACAGAAGTCGATCACTTTCCTGCAATTGTTGGCTCAGTATTGATGACAAATTCATGACAATGTTTGTTGCACGGATTGTCACTCAACATTTAAATTGTTTGCAATTTAAGTTGCCAATGTTGTCAATGTGTTTGTGTTTGTGTGTGTATGTTGTGTCAGTGTAGTGATAGTTTATGTCATTACAATGCAAAACCGCTTTTCAAGAGATTCCTGGAAATAATCATTAATAACTTTTATATTATATTATATATATTGAACAATGCATTGCTAGAATCTGTTTTTGTTTAAAACACTGTTGAGGACACATTATAAGGATTAAGGGAAGAATATTTATTTATTGTGTAAGTCTAGAGGCATTTTCATATATATTAATATGTTTTTATATTCTACTCCCAGTAAAGTTAAGACCACTTGAGGAGGCATGGCCCGATCCCTTGGACTACTCGTTCTCCTATCTGCTCTCTGCTGCAGCCTAGCGGACAATGTAAGTATAGCATACTCCTCCTGAGGTTTTCCGCCCATCAACCACAGTTAGTCAGTTGTTTTTGCAGTAGTGCTTTGTTGCAATGCAGTTTTGAGCAATGACTTGTTGGTGGTGGCTTTACCAAAATTTCTACATACAAGACTGAACAGCAATATTTTAAATTCAAATTCATTTTAAATTCATAATTATTTCAAATTCATAATTATTTCAAATTCAAATTTTTGAAATGTTTAATTGCTTGATTATTGGTGAGACGCTCATCACTGTCCTGCAGCCGACTCTCAAATCTCACATGCATGCACCAACATGTGATTACCCACTCTATGTGCAGAAAGTTTCCTCTGTTTATTTTCTCAGTATCCTGAAGAGAAAATCACTGGCTGCCTCGGATGGAAACCAACACCATGCAACCATCCTCGGCTGCTCTGTGTTTAACTGTATCTCCTGTGTTACAGGTGGAGCTGCTCCGCTCTAAGAGAGGGACTCGTTTTTACAGAGGTGAGCCTGACAGGCAGTCGGCCAGACGGACGCTTTTGATTATTCATGTCCAGAAGTCACCTTCCTTTGACACCTCCTGTGAGCACCAATCACACGCTCTTTCTTTTCTAATCACACAATCACCAGCCTCACCATCTGCATGTTTTCCTTTTAATCCTTTGTTGCCATTCACGTGTTTGTGTTCTTGTCCGTTGTTGTATCTTCATGTTTATAACTTCTATATATGACAATGATTCAGTTTTCTCTCTGTTTGATTGGCTGTGTACTCACTGTTTGTGTGTGTGTGTGTGTTCTCAGTGCATTGTGTGGATAGTGAGACATCAGCAGTGCGTAATTATGGCGATGCTTGGCTGCGATGGAGGGGACGGCGTGTGGAGTATTGCCGTTGTGCAGTGAGAGGACAAGAGCGTTGTCATATTGTGCCCGTCATCAGTGAGTGTGAAATGAACGCACAGACACACAAACACGCATGGACTGACTGACTCCCTCGTCTCACCTGTCTTGTTATGATCCTCTGTTTGTCGATTTGTCAGTCGGTCTGCTGGCCTGCCCTCGCTGGCCTCTGTCTTCTAACTTCCTGTGAAAACCTCATGATTATTTTTTTGTTGGCTTTCCTCGCTCATGTGTCCAAATCACTGTTATTTCAGTGCATCCGAATGAAGAAACGCCGGGTTTCTGAGTGGGTGTAGTTTAGTCTCAAATATTCCTGCCAGACCAGCCCTCATACGCACTTTCACCCTCATTGACGAACTCTATGAAGCACAGTTGCCCCTCCCTCAGACAAATTGCAACCACATTTTCAGTCTGCAGCGTCCATGAGCTCATATGATGGAGGGGGTGAGTGGGGTGCTGTTATTCTGAACGCTAGCCTTTAGGAAATGTTGAAATATTGAATGACAAACCGTACTGATGATGCCATAAAACCAGTTCTGCTCCAGAAAGAAACCATCCACTGGATGTCATGGTTTTACTTTGATGCTCCGGAGATGTTTGCCGGTAGGAAGAGAGTCAGGATGAGCAAAGATTTACATAGACCTCAAAGGTTCAACATCACATGTGACTCACAAATCCCACAAATCAAATTCTCTATATACGCAAGTGGTCGGAGCCAATCAATCCTATTTTAATTTTTCAAATTGTTCATGGACCAAAGAGGTGTGTGACGTAAGACTGACTAACAGGATTCCTGTCTGCTCTTTTCAGATTGCTACGTGTCTCAGTGTTATAATGGAGGGATGTGTAAGGAGGCTGTGTACACGTCAGATTACATTTGCCAGTGTCCTGCAGGCTTCAGTGGGGCTCAGTGTGAGATCAGTAAGTACACAACACACTCTTTGATGCAGGCCACAAATATTTTCATCACTGTTTTTCTTAACTGATTAAAAATAATTGCAAAATTGTCAAATATGAACATGAGAGTTTTTGTTTGACGAAATCTAAAACCCCAAAATTGACTTTTATAGTTAGCTTGGAAAATCCAAACAATACTGAAGCTAGAATCAGAGAAAATGTTTCATATTTCTTTAGTTAATTGACTACAGATTCTTTTTTTTGTCTTCATGTCATTCAACATGGAAACCTTACGTATTTGAATATGTCTAATTTCACTTATTCTTTATTTAAAGCAACTCATGCATGTCTGACACTGATTCAATTATTCTACGAACTTGTCAGTGACTCTTGATCTGGTCACAGTTTGACTGCTTGGCTCATACTGAAGGGTCATTGGCCTGCGGTTTGGAGAGAAGTGGAAAAGATTATAAACAATGGAAATACATTCTGGAATATGAATGTTTGTGTTTCTGCGGCCGACTTTTGGAGGCTTTTAGGGACACCCCACCCTCCCAGTGGGATAATTATGTGAACCCCAGTGGTCACAGCCAAGTGATTCCAGCGAAAGAGTAATGAGTTGGGATGGTCTGGCTCACTAAATATGACGACATTTACAATCATCATAGTTTATGTTTGGTCAGTCACTTCAACCACTAATTGGAAAACTCCAATATAAAGACCCAAGTTGTGAGTTTAATTTTATTTAAGAAATAACTGTGTTTTTCATTATTTGTCCAAATATTTTTGAGCAACCTGTTCTAGATCTAATAAATGTACTTTATTGTGTTAGAGTAAAATAACTGCATCTGTTACTAGAATGACATCAGTCTCACATATAAATAAGTGACACTATATTCAGTTTAACTTTGTCTCTCCCTCCTACAGACAACAATGAGAAGTGTGTGATGGGACAGGGCCAAGGGTATCGTGGGACATGGAGTATCAGCCACTCAGGAGCAGAGTGCATCAACTGGAACGCCACGTCTCTGAGAGGAAAGAGGTTCACGGCGAAAAAAGTCGATGCTGGCAGTCTTGGACTGGGCAACCACAACTTCTGCAGGTATGGGCCCGGAGGAATCTGTTAGGAATAAACTGCAAGTTTCCATTGAGTCCATGCAATTAAATAAAGGAGGATAAACTGTAAAGAAGCAGAAAATCTCAAATCTGGCAGAGTAGAAACGAATGATGTGACATCTGTTTTTGCAAAACCTTGTTTGGCTAATGCATTTTTAAAACCGTAAGGATGTGTTTTTTTCATCATTTATGAGGTGAGCCATGAATGTCCAGTATTTCCTCATAGTCCTTTTCTTTTTTTTTCCACTCAGGAACCCAGACAAGGACAGCACTCCTTGGTGTTATGTCTACAAAGGCACTCAGATCGTCTGGGAGTTCTGTTCTATGCCCAAATGTCCAGAAGGTGCAGCTTCACCAGAAGAATATAGTAACAACTAAAAACTTAAGTTGTTGTGTTCCAGCTCGGTTAAACGCTTGTTTTCTGTGTGTGTGTGTTTTCGGAGCAGATAAGTACCAGGAATGTGCTTTTGATTCCGGTCAGTCCTACAGAGGCACAGCATCTGTCACCAAGAGCGGCTCTCCCTGTCTCCCATGGGACTCTCCTGCTGTCAAGCGCAAGTTCAACAACGCCTGGCGGTCGGATGCGCTGCAGCTTGGCCTCGGCAGCCACAACTTCTGCAGGTAGAGATCCAAGCATGCAAAACATACATGAGAGGTTCCCCCTGCACACAGAACTGGGTTTCATTTTGCTCTTCCTTTATCCAACAGGAATCCAGACCGTGATGATGGTCCATGGTGTCACACCTATAAGGACATGAAGCTGACCTGGGAGCTGTGTGATATTCCTAAATGCCGTGAGTTTGCATATTTTCATTGTTTCAATTTTGAAGGAAAGTTGAAGTAGGTGGTGTGGGAACTTGTGTCAATGTGCTAAGTGTCTGCCCTTTCTTGTCGCCTCTATTTTAGCAAAACGTCCCTCTATCATCACAACTCTCGGTCCACGTGCCCCGACCAGGAATAACAACAGAGGTAAAAATAACCTCACATCCAGTGAACGTCCATTTCTTCTGACGTGGTTTCCAGTTTGTTATTTAACCATCATCCTGTCCTCCCTGCAGCAACATGTGGTCAGCGTATAGATAACTCCCTGAACCGCCCGGCGTTCCGCATATTCGGGGGCAGAGGGTCAGACATCACAGAGCAGCCGTGGCAGGCTGCCATCAACATCTATAAACCCCGTAGCAGACAGCACCTTCACAGATGTGGAGGGGTCCTCATTGACTCGTGTTGGATTCTGTCTGCTGCGCACTGCTTCGAGGAAACGTAAGACGGACTCACATCCTTCTTTTTTTAAATTTAAAATGTGTGCCATTCAACACACAAACACATTCCCTGTCTTTTTCAGTGATAAAGCAGAAAAACTGCAAGTGGTTTTGGGAAGAACGTTTCGGAAACAGAATTCAAGCGGTGAGCAGATTTTCAAGGTGGAGAAGTACTGGAGCCATGAGAAATTTGACAACGAAACTTTTGACAATGACATCGGTGAGTGAAAATTTAAGGAGACAAAGTCATACAATCTTTCTTTATTTCATTTCTTTCTCTACTTTTGTTTTTGCATTTTTGAGTTTTGGCGTGCATGATGAAAATTCCATGTTTCCCCCCAGTGTTGATGAAATGGAAATTTAAGTGGGCAGCAAATGCTTGTAAAAACCTAAAACAGTCCCTCAGTCATCATCCCACAGTTTCCCCCGTGCATTAGCCTGACTTTCCTGTGGTCACTGTCCACTTGCAGCTCTCTTGAAGCTGAAGACAGACATCGGCATCTGTGCTGTGAACTCTCCGGAGGTTTTTCCGGTGTGTCTACCCGAGTCTGGGCTCTCGCTGCCCAACTGGACCGAGTGTGAGATCTCAGGCTATGGAAGAGACCAAGAATGTAAGCAAACACCTTTTATAATTCATGGCTTTCACTAAGTTTGCATTTTTCTCACAAGCAGCTTAGTGAGTTGACTGACCAGCGGAGGGCAGTGTGAGCAAGCTCTTGCACAGAGCTTTGATCGGTTTACGTTTGAATAGCAGCTGCTGAAGTACTAATTCAAACACTCTCCACAGTTGCTGCAGAGTACTCTGAGCGTGTTAAGAGAGGTTACGTTCGGCTGTGGCCCAATGAGCGCTGCGTTCCAGATGTGCTGTCTGGACGCACCGTTACCTCCAACATGTTGTGTGCAGGTGACACCCGAGGCCTCGACGATGCCTGCAAGGTGAGAAGGCTCGATTTTTACCCATAACCTCCTCATTAAATCAGTGCTGATGACATTACTCACTCTCATTTTGATCTCTCTTATCCCACAGGGAGACTCTGGTGGGCCGCTCGTCTGCCGGAACAAGGACAAGATGACTCTGATGGGTGTGATCAGCTGGGGCGACGGGTGTGGGCAGAAGGATAAACCCGGCGTCTACACCCGTGTCACCAATTACATCAGCTGGATCAACGGAATAATTAAGGCAAACCCGGTCTAAAGGAAGAGGGAGTGAAAAGATTATGTTGTTGGATAACTGTACCTATGAGCACAGTGGGTACAGCAGCACATATGTTTATCAGATGGACAGTGAGGTCCACAGGACTCTCAGGACTCTGTTGATCTAATTCCAAACTGATGGAGACTTTGACGCCGCAGGGTCACTACTGCAGAGATGTTCATTGCTGTGATAATATGACAGAATATGTGGACAGAACAAACGTTTCCTCCTTCTGGGCCATCTTGATTTTTTTATAGAAAGTGTTCATGTGTTTTCACAGTTCTGCCTTCACCTCACCTTCACTGGAGGTTTAGGTAGTGAATGTAACGGGAAAAATAGGACATTCCTCTCATCTCTGGCTTGCTCTACGCTGGTTTATACAAAGAAGTCACAGTGACAGACGTCAGATCAGTAGCACTTTTAATCCAGAAGAATTCTCAGTCAACACAGGACATTTACTTTGCCCAGCTCAGTAAGTCCCATGAGGAGTGTTTTGCTTATTTTCTAAAGGTTTTATGCAAAGATTGTGTCACAGACTTGTCTTCTCGATGAGAGGTGACATTAACTTAATTGGGTTTAATGCAAAATCTTCATGCATTTTCTTACTTTGGGGCTTGATGTCTTCCATTTAAACCACACACATATCTGCTGGTTCAGATTCAGCCTGTTTTGTCTCTTAACGCTCCCGACTGTCTCGTTTAGATTTGAACAGGTGGAGGCAGTTCAGATTTGTATCAGATTATCAGAAAACTTCTCCACCTGACACGTGGGTTGAGCCCAGTGTAAATACAACATGTATATTGTCTGATTATTGATTTTATATTGAGCACGACTGGGGACTGTTTGTTTTGGTTCCACATTCAACTGCTTATTGACTGCAAAGCCTAACACACTCACTTTGTTCAGTGACAGAATCTCAATGGCTTTAGATGTTTGTGCTAAGTTAATATTTATGTATTTTTTATATTGCTTTGTAGAAAGTGTCATCTGTTTTGTAATGTAGCCTAATAATTTATTGTCAGTTTCATTATAACCACTTTTGTCAACATACTCGTTTTTCAATAAATAACATTTGGAATAAACCTCGCTGTGGCCTTTTATTGTTTCCAGTAAACTGCAGATAAATTAGTTTTCGCCCGACAACTCAAGGATTTCTGAGATAAAGCCAAGACTGATGAAACACTGAGCTGGAAATTCTGTCAGCTCGTTGGCATTGAAAACATCCCAAAGTTTGTTGGTGGATGTTTTTTATCATAACACTTTTGTTTCAACAGCCTCACATATTCCTCTTACAGGAACATGTGATTCTGTATATAACTTCCTTAAACCATGCAGGAACATATATGTTGCTAGGCTGCAGGCCGTGTTGCTTTTTGACCATCAATATGCACAATGAATTCACAGTTTATTTCAAATATAATAATAATTTATGATAATATTATATTTTTGAAATCAAAAATAAAGCCATATGTATAAGATTACATTCAAACAACAGCATAACCAAATTAAATTTCAGTTTATATCCTCTGTAAGGCAAATAGACTCACCAATATTTAACCAAGGGGACAGTATTAGTTTTTCATTATTCATTAATCAGTAATACATTTGAGGAACCATATTGGGTTAGTGTTAAAAGCCAAACTGAGTTTTGGTCATGTGAACAACAAATCCTCCCTTCTTGAGTTTTTGTTGTAGGTGTTGATTCAAATGTATGGTGGCCCTGGAGGCTGCACTTTGTGGTGCTAAATAGATAAAATAATAAACTGTGTCTGTAGCAGATTGTATATATCAAGTATGCTCTGCACACTTTTTGTAGAATTTAAGTAAGCCCATATCTTCTCATGCGGTTTGTGTTTTTTTAAATGTTATCAATGCTGATTTTCCTTCTCATTAAAAACTTCATTGTTGTCTGCATTGGGAGTTGATGTTTGATTTGTAATAAAGTTGGTGCATGTGGAGCCGGGAGCTGTGGAGCCACGTCTGAGGTGTGCTCTGGCTGCAGCTCCTTTAAAAGCAGAGAGCAGCAGGTGAAGCAGTTTTTGTGAAACAGGTAGGAAATGCAAATGAGATCAGTTAGAGCTGCTCTTCACATGCTCTCTCTCTCTCTCTCTCTCTCTCTATCGCTCGCTTTCAATCTTTAAAGCCATTTGCATTAAAGAACAGTGTCAAAGACAACATCTTCATGACTTGAGCTGTGAGAATCGTCCCCAAAGTCATCACGATGGTAAAGTGCCATTTCATTTTTGTCTTATTTGGTTTTACAGTCTGGTAACTTTGTGGTAGAGTGTGATGAAAGTGAGCAGCTGGTGTCAGTAGAAGAAGTTGGTGTTATTATTTCAGCAGTTTGGTCTGAATGTGGGGGAGATATTTCAGAAGCTACATTGTGAAAGTAATGATTATGTGGGAATGTGAAGGTGAAACTGTGAAAATGACCCATAGACAACTACATGATAACCTGAGAGCAAACACAATGACAGGCATCAGTTGTGATGAATTCTCTGAGAGGTCAAACAAGTTTGTTAAACTTCCTCTTCTGTGCTCTTTGTTCAACAGTTCTCCATTAGATTCATTTATTAGCTTCATTCAAACATGTTTAAGTGTAATTTACAGGGATTTAATTTTAACAGTATAGAAACACTTGATACATGTGTATTTAACATTTTCATATATTAAGTTCCAGCCTGCACATTTATGGTTTTGTGTGAGATTATGAGTAAATACGTTTTAACATTGACCTAATAGAGACACTTTTACATACAGCTCTTGTGTTCAGCATCTCATGGTTCAAATTTAATTTGTTGTCGGATTTTGGCAAGTTCAAAATGTAGTTACTTTTCTTCTAGTGTCACTTTGTTATAAACTATCATCTTTCCAGTCTCTTTTTTCAGTAAACATGACCATACAGTAGTTTGTGCTTTGGTTCACTCAGAGATGGAGCTGGCGATCCGTTCAGGCAGGGAAAGTGTCTTCTGTGTAAAAAGTGTGATTCTAAGAGTCTGTGTTTATTTTTACTTGCAATGTTGGTGATGAGCTTTTTGGTGCCAATATTCAAAGCTCCTGTGCATCAGTGTTTTATTTCATGGAGACATCCAAACTTAACATTTTCTCTCTGCAACATTTGATCAAATTAAACCTGCACCTTGTGGTTCTGTCTGATGGATTTCTAACTACAGACGTTTCATCTGATGGGTTTTGAATTGAAATTGTGATCCGGTTCAGTTAGAGCCAAGAGCTCATTTAGATAAGTTTTATCGGTGGAGGAGATCCTCATGAGCTCACATGATTAAAAACAAAAATCAGTAAAAGCCAAAATGGAGAGGCGGAACAAATCGCTTCCCCAAAACCAATAACATAAGAAATATATTACAATCAGCTCTTGGAATAAGTCTCATACCTTATATTTGACACATATAGTATCTAAATATCAATGAAGTATAAAAATCTAGAATATTGTACAGTAACTTACTCTGAAATAATTACTTGTTCTAAAACCCATGCACTGTTTCTGTTAGTGGAACATACGCTCAGTGTGTTCTTTGCATCAGATTACACTTCATGGTCACACAACTTTTTCCTTTTTCCTCCTGTTGGCTTCCTGACACTCTGACACTTTCCCCTGAGACGCACACACTCCGACTGCAGGTGGTGATTTCAAGTTTCTCGTCAGACAGAAGTTACATTCAGCAGAAGTTCCAATCTGGGTCTGAAACAAAGCTGAAGGTTGTTGTTGTTGCAACCTGACCCGGCTTTAAACTGCAGATATTTTTGGAGTAGGCAAGTGACACAAAGGTCATAAATAACAGAACACCTCTCACCTGCTCCTCATTCATCAACAGAAAATCAACTGTTTTCTGACACTTGATGTTTTAATGTGGTGTGAGATATAGTCTCAGTCCACATCATTTACTTTACGCCGACACTTCCTCATGTCTGCTGGTCACTGTGGGATAACTGAGCCTCTGCTGCTCCACTTCCTGATTTTACTCAAAATAAGTTTATGTTTATTCATCTCCTCCCCCTGCTACTAAACTCAGTCACATCCCTGCACAAAGAGTTTTAATGTTTTAATTTTTAAGAAGCTTATATATGCCTGCATGTATTTTTACCAATTCAGCATTGTTATATTATTATATTTGGTTCATTAGTTTCCATGGTTTACAGTCAGTTTTTGTGGTGATTGAAGTTATTTATTAGATATTTGTGTCTTCATCTATCCTCTTGTGTGTCTGGACGGCCTGTTGACAGTTCTGACAGCTATCTTCTCTTACTGTTTATTACTTCTGTCATTTTGGCCTCTTTTGTGGATCCAGTATTATTGTCTTATGTCATTTTCGCACTTTCTTTGTCTTTTTAAAAAAAGAAAAATTGATTTTCCTTCCAAGAAACCAACCGTTTGTTCATCTGCTCAGTTTTTGAAAGCTTCATTGTATTTGATGAATTACATGAATTGATCTGAATCTGTAAAGTCATTTGGAAGATGTCAAACGTTGATTCGAGTTCTATTGTTATTGTGTGACCTTCCCCATAGGCAGCCACTGACTCAGACTGAATGACAAAACTGATAACAACCTACGAGCTGCATGCCTGGCTCGTAATCATTTACTTTATCTGTCTGTGTTAAATCTCTCAATCTGAGGTTTCTGTTTTTTTCAGAACTTCTTTGGGAAACTGAAGAACTTGTAAGTACAGTTCCCAGCAGGAGAACCTCTCTGGTGTATTATATCACCCATGAAATAAAATGCTTCTGTCGCAGCTCACCTCTCCTCTTTCCCTCAGTAACAATGGACCTCCAGTTCCACCCAAAAGAGCAGGTGAGATTGAACCCTAGCGTGAAGGGAGGATGTTTGGATGCTGTCTTTCTTTCTTCACTGGATCTTCACTGGACTAACTCTTAGTTTATTTTCTGTTTCAGATGACGATGCAGAGTTCAGGTGGCCACCGGATGAGTTTGTAAGTTAAAAATACAAGTTTCTGAATCTGTGCTTTTACAGGTTGTATCCTCATAATATTAAAGATACTACATACAGTATATAATTCTAATAATGTTGTTTGAACATTTCCTCTTGTATGGATCCTTTCAATGTGCTTATTGAGCACAGGCTCAGGGGCCCAAGAGGTCAGCGAATCTTATTTATATTTTTTTGTTGGATAGTTAAAATAAAATACTACAAAGAGACAAAAAAAACCCACTAGAAAATTACTATTAAAATACCCCGAATAAAAAACAATGACGAAAATATGAGAAATGAAAATACACAACAACGAAAATATGTAAAATGAACACAAAAATGCACAGAAAACCTAAAACCTAAATTTGAAACAAAATATATTCATGTGGATGAAGGGCCTACTCTCTCAATATCCATCCATTAGCTCTGTTGCTAATTTTAAATTTGCTTTACGGAGGAGAATGAACCTTTACAGCTATTTCATATTCCTATTTTCTTATGGCAGGATGATGAGGAGGGTGACATGTATGAAGCACCTCCCTGTGAACGTCAAGCTTTGAAAGTCCAACAGAGACAAGAGGAGGAGGATGTTTATCTGGGTAACAGTACTTCTTATTACATATCACATATTACAACAAGGTTAAACAGTTCAAATCCCTGTTCACCATATTTTCTTTGTACAGACAGGACGTCCAGTCCTGCTGTTCAACAGAGGAAGGCTGCTACACCACCCAGACTGGGAAACCCCTCGGTAACTTATCTGTGTGTCTCTGCAGCTGCGGTTGAAGATGTTGCCTTTGTTTTAATCAAATTATCTCACCCCTGTTCTTCAGAGACCTTTACAACGTGCTGACGTTTTCTCCCACGAATCCAACACCAAGAAACGTGCGTCAATAATCTGTAATCATTTGCAACTACACAAACTGTGCATATGCTGAATTTGTTGACTGACTGTGTTGTATAACCCGCCTCACTTGATCTCCTCCATCCCCTCGGTCAATACAACTACACCTGTTCCCTCACAGCACCGGAGATAGACAGAAATGAGAAGCCTGGGAGAAACAAAATGATGCCTCATCCACCTTTTCCTTCCCCAGTTTCTGAACCCAGCACAGAGGAAGGTGCAGTAAACACACAAATGAACCTTTCATAGACCTTATTCACCAGACTGTAAATGACTGAGAGGATGGTAAAGGTCTTAATATTCATTTTACTATCTATGTAGTCATTTTTTTAAACAAACAACATGAAAGATTTTACTTTTGGTGTTACTGCTCATCTGTTGCATGGTGGTGCACATCCTTTTTTCTAAAAGACACAGTGTTCCAGCTGCAACATCACTTATTTTGATAGGAACAAACATGATACCAGAATCCAAGATAAGGGTGCTACCGACTGTATTTCCACTGAGCTGCACCTGAATGCCTCAGAAATGCAAATATTTTGAATTGGTCTGATTGTACAGTGCAGATTACTAGATTAGGAGAGATGAGGTAGTTGTCACACTGTAAGTAGTATTCACAGTATTACAGTTTCAACCACTGATGGATAATGTAGAAAAAGAAGAAAAGTTTAGGATTTCAGATTCATTCTCATGCATTTTTATTTCTTTTTCTTATTTTCAATTGTTATAAACACATTTCAAGACCTTTCCACACCACTAGAGGTCACAATACAGATCCCAGACAGTGTTTTCTCTGCATTTCAGATGTTTACCTGGATCCAAACGAAGAACAGGTGAGTTTAAATTGCAACCTTCAATCTTCTTTTTTTGTCTTTTGTGAAAGGAACATGGTTTATTGAAGAGTCTAATAGCATAGGGATGGCTAATTAGCAGCTGTAACAGTTGGAACAAGATGAGCGAGGGGTGGTGGTTGGACAACTGAACAGGACTTGACATTCAGTAGGACCAATCATGCATGGATTAGAAAAAGTGGTCCACTCAGGTTTTTCTGAAAATTCACAGTGATCAGGTTAAAGAAGTGATGTCCAGATAATGACAGAAAATTCGATCCTGCCCCTCAGCTTTGTTTTCTGTAATAGTTAATTAAGTGAGTAGCAGTGTTGTTTATAATGGAAAATATCGACTGTATGAGATGAATAAAGCCAGAATTTCTTTTGGTCTGAGGGTCTTGCTGCTATGTATGAGGTGCAGATGATTAGAAATGCCTTCTCCACTTTTGGCACATTAAACCACGTTTATTCAAAAATATATTCCTTTCAATTATCGTGATTTGACAATATTTGTCATTCTGTGTTTCAGGAGGATGAAGACGACCTGTATTTAGAGCCAGCAGCAGGTCAGTTGATCTTTCTCTGGGATGTTAAGAGAAAATACGCCTCATGAACAGAGTTGGTTATTTGAACAACTTTAAAATGTTCAAATGAAAAGACAACCTGATTCGATTTATGGATAATGAAAAGCATGATTAAAAAAAAGAGGGTTTCCTTTCTCACCAGCTTATGTTTCAGCCCCACGTGGGCTGATGATGATGCCTCCATCTTCCAGGACAGTGCTTATACCATCTTCCATACCCACGTAAGTGCATCTCACTCTGAGTAAAAGCAGCTTTCAGCCAAGCTTAACAGCATATGACGCACAAATGCACAAATGATACAATAACAAGTGATATAATCGCATCACTTCATATTTCATGGTCTATCACCGATGCTGCTTTTTGTTTGCAGTAAAGTACAAATATTAGTAGAGGTAGTTGTGGTACTTCATAGTCAATTTCTGGAGCTTAACATGAAATGGAAATGAAGCTTCTCTCTCTCTGCAGGATGAAGCCTCCTGTTCCCAGAGCAAAGTCTGTGAGTGTGTCTATTCATCTCAGTGCAGCAGTCGAAACATTTCCTAATGCTGAGCACTGTCCTCATTTAAAGCCAAACTGTCAAGATAAGGAGTTAGAAGGTTTTCATTCATTAATCTCAGCTTGTCAGTTTGTCCCTGCACTAATATTTATTTCTCCCTTTCAGAATTCCATCTTGCTCTCACTGAACGAGTCCAAACCAGGTAAAGGGTCAGTACAAACCATGTTATGATGATGGTGATGATGATGATGATGAAGAGTGCATATCTCTCCTTTATAGATCCTTCACTTGAGGTGAGACGAGCCGCGTTTCCAACTAAACTCCCTCCACCAACTCCCAGTGTTAAACCCCCTCTTCCAGTCAGCCTGAAGGAAGCTAAACCCAGGTGAGAGGTGAATGATGCAGAGAGGGTGGACAAGTTTGTTTTGTAAAATAAAAGATTAGTTGATATATAGTCTTCCTGTCTTCATTCTAGCACTGCAAATCTTCCTCCTGCAGGAACCAAGCCTGTGGGTAAGCTCGCATTTTGGGGTCATTTGGGGTCAGCATGGTTATATCGTATTTCTGTCTCTGGTCAAAAATGTTCCCTTGATCTTGACATATAAATGTTTTCTATTTTTTTCAGCCTCTTTTGGTGGTATGAGGGCAACCAAACAGTCCGACAATGAGGTATGGTGTCTATTAGAGAAAATATAAAATGACTTATAAAGCACCAGTGGTGGAAGAAGGATTTAAAACTCAACACAACAAAAATAGCTACTTCATTTGTTTGTGGTATGAACAAGTGGCTCCATGGGTCAGGACCCTCAAGATAAATGAAGTTCTTTTACCTGAAATATTGGAATTAGTTAGATTCTTCTTAAGTAATTTTACTCATACTCATATGCATATGTATCTTGTCATGAAGGGCCATACAGAAATACATTATAAGAGTAATGTACTCATTTGCTTTCCACCCCTGTGAAACACTTAAAACTTAAAGCTCTGTTACTGTTTGTCATATCCCAGGACAAAGAATGGTTTGCTGGAGACTGCAACAGAAAGACAGCTGAGGAACTCCTGCAGAGTGTCAACAAGGTAAACCAAATATTTAATGCTTCACTTCATGGTCGTATTAACAGCTAATTAAGCTAATAAAGTTTCTCCTCCTTTGTATTCATTACTTCTGCTCTCAGTTTTTCTCAGATTGTCATGTTTGTCCTCTGTTTTTTCGGTGTTGTAGGACGGTGCCTTTCTCATCCGACACAGCTCGTCCCAGCCGTACACCCTCGCTGTGCTCTACCAGCAGAAGGTGTACAACATCCCCATCCGCTTCCTGGAGCACACACAAGGCTACGCCCTCGGAAAAGAGGGCAAGAAAAATGAAGAGGTGAGAGCGAATAAGGCTGAAGGGAGGGAGGCAGGGAAGAAGAAAACAAAGAGAGCAGGAATCTGAAGAAGAATTTCAGGCTTTTCATTTGTTAACCTCTCTCCCCTCATCTTTCTTTCTCTCCGTCAGACATTCACCACTCTCGACCAGATGATTTCTCACCACAGAAACAACCAACTGCTTCTGATTGACAGCAAGAGTCAGGCCAAGCACACGACGTATTTAACCCACCCTGCACGCCCTTAAAACCACTACAGCCTCCTGTATGTATTTATACAAACAATATATTTCTGTATGCTACACATAAATGTTGCAGTTATAATCTTCATTTACATTATTATGAACGTTAGTGATGAACCAATCCTGTGTGTGTGTGTGTGTGTGTGTGTGTCTGTGTGTGTGTGTGTGT